ATACCTCAATCTCTGTGGCTTTAGTGTTGTTGCCTTTTTTTTTTTTTTTTTTTTCCTGAGTAAAAACACTGTTTTTGCATGGGCTCTAGTTTCCTGTGCTGCTGTTTTAGATAGTATTTCCAGACGGAAAGCCAGAGTGAATGCCAAGCTTACCTTATGTGTTTTTCTTCTTTGAAGGATCACAGCCTTATGTTGTCTGCTATCCAATGCATGAAAAAAGTTTTATCAAATAGCTTATCCAATTTTATATTTGTTCATGGCAAATGAGTAACTTTGATACTGTCTGTGATAGCTGTAAGTGGAAGGCTCTATTAATAACTTTTTAAACAAAAAATAGCATAGCCAATAAAATCTTAATTTCTAGCCATCAAAAAGAGTTAACCAAGGAAAACCAATTATCAGCAGCTAGAATAAAAAGGTAGAGCAGAGGTGTCAGCAGTAATTGTCCACTATTTCAATATTCTTAGAATAAAAAAAAAATTCCAGGAGTCATAACGTTTTTTGTTAATTTCCACTTCTCATTGACAGCATAGCAAACAACACAATACCCTTCATTCCTTCCTAATCCTAAGCCTAGTTTTGTGTTCAACCTGGTGTGAACAATTCATGACAAGTTAAATGCCAACAATAGCACTCACCTTGTACTTTACCAGCTACTCAATCTCTCAGCTTCCTTAGAATTGGAAGTGACCATATAGCTGTGTTTTTGTTTTCTGGGTTTTTTTTTTTAAAGAATTATTTATTTCCTTTTATTTATTTATTATTATTACTATTATTTTAATTTGCTGTAGGGCATGTGTGCTCACAGAGAGAGAACGCCCAGTGAAAAGCTAGAATCCATCTGATGTGGGCCTAGCCTTGCCCTTTTAACTGGAAAGCCTCCACCCTAAACCTCTCCTTCCAGCCCAAACACTCAGGAAAAGACCTGAATCCATGTGCATCTGAGGTGGGCCTAGCCCTTCCCCTATAATGGGAAAACCTCTGTCCTAAACCTCTCCTGGCCCAACAACCAGCAAAAAGCCAAGTAGGGTGGTCTCTGTCTTCTTTCTGTTTCTGTCTGTCTCTCCCTCTCCCTTCCTCTTGAAATTTTTCTCATATATATATATATATATTTAAATCTGTAGGTACTGTCTCTTGTCTCTGATCTCTCCTTTCTCTTGCTAATTTCAGAATTCAGGTGCATCTTAGGTGGGTCCAGCCCAGTCCTGCTCCTTTCAGCATTTATTTTGCCTTTTTAAATCCCCTTTCTATTGTTTTGTTTGGCCTTTTTTTTTTTTTTTTTTTTTTTTTTTTCTTTTTTTTTCTTTTTTTTTCCTGATTTCTCACCTTGCTTCTCACCTTCCACACAGTGAGTGTCTGGGCAGGTCTAGGTGCACAGTAGCAAAACATCTGAATACTTTTATAGTCATAGTAAACCTCAGCCCTCACTGAACTGCTACAGAGAGGGAGAAACTCATCTTTATAAATCTAAATTGAAATTCCTTTCCGTGGATACCACGTTGCAAAACACAGTAGTAGAGGAGAAATAGATAAAGAAGTACCTCACAGTAAAGTGAAGCATATGAGCTTACAGTAGCAGAAATCTCTAACAAATTAGGCAAACATAAATATACCACTAAAAATCAGAGAAGAGAGTCTGCAAAGTGAGTAGCTGGAAGAAATACAGAGCTGCAGTGAGCACGGCTCATCTCCTCCCACACATCTCTGATTCTTAGTTGAAACCCCACAACTCAGCCCAGGTGCACCTATTCCCTTGAAACTGTGAGGCCTTTGTAATATCCAGTTCCATTGACAAAAGTGCAGGTTGCTTGGTGAGGGTCAGAGAAATGGAACTGCAGAAATGTTGCAGGTCATCTCCTTCTGCATATCTCTAATGCTCAGAATTAACTTTAAGAAGGGAAGAAGTAACGCATAATCCATTAGATGACCAAAAATAGCCACAAAGGTACAAGAAATATGGGAAATCAAGAAAATATATCTCACCCAAGGGGAAAGAACAGCCCTTCATCATCCCCAGGACAGTATGATGGAACTCATGGAAATGTCAGATAAAGAATTTAGTATATTCATAGTGACAAAGCTAACAGAGATGCAAGAGAAGAGAGACAATGAACTCCAGAAAATGCAGGAGAAAAGAGACAACGCATTCCAGGAGGTGAAGAAGTTCTTCCACCATCTGAAAGAAGAAATATACAGCATAAAAAAGAATCAAATGGAACTGTTAGAGATGAAGGCTGTAATACAGGAAATCAAAACCTCCCTTGAAAGTATTAAAAGCAGATTAGATCATGCAGAAGATCGAATCTCTGAGGTAGAAGACACAACCTCTGACCTAGAAAAATACACCAAAAAGACTGAGAAAATAATCCAAAAAAACTGATAATAATATACAAGTAATATGAGATATCACTAGATGCCCAAACATCCAGATAATCAGTATCCCAGAAGGTGAAGAAACTAATCAGAGCATTGATAATCTATTCCATGAAATCCTGGAAGAAAACTTGTCAAACCTAGAGAGGGATTCAAATATCCAGACCCAAGAAATACAAAGGACCCCACATACAATCAACCCAAGATCTTCTCCAAGGCAAGTCATAGCCAGATTGACCAAAACCACAGACAGAGACAAAATACTGAAATTAACAAGAGAAAAACATCAAGTTACTTTCAAAGGATATCTCATCAGGCTAACATGGGACCTCTCATCAGAAACAATGCAAGCAATTGTGCTGGATAAAAATATGAAAAATGTAGTACACTGTAAAGATACATCTGATTAAATGTAATATAAAAATTATTATAATAATAAATAATTTTTTTAAAAAAGAAACAATGCAAGGAAGGAAAGAATGGGAAAATATATTCAAAGTGTTAAGTAAAAAAAACAATTTCAACCAAAAATACTATATCCAGCCAGACTATCCTTCATCTGGGAAGAAAAGATTAAAAATGTTCTCAGATAAACAAAACCCGAAAGAATTTACCAACACCAGACCACCTTTTTGAGAAGAAAATATCTCTTCCCAAAGGGAAAGAATAGCCCTTCATCATCCACAGAGAGTACAATGGAACTCATGGAAATGTCAGATAAAGAATTTAGGATATTTATTGTGACAAAGCTAACAGAAATGCAAGAGAAAAGAGACAATGAACTCCAGAAAATGTTGGAGAAAAGAGACAATGAATTCCAGGAGGTGAGGAAGTTCACAATGACCAGCTCTTTGAGAAATTCTGAAGGGAGTACTACTATACCAGAAAAACTCAAGACAGACAGACAAATAAGACAACAAAAAATAACCAAGAAAAAGGACAACTTAAAGGTAGTGACAAGTTCTAAAATATCAATAATAATGTTGAATGTTAATGGAAAGGTCAGACCACAGTAACACTGCAAATTCAAGAAAAGACAGATTACATGAGACTGAACTGGTGAAATAGAATTCTATGACTTTTGTCTAAAACATTACTGATTTTCTTCTATGTTTTGTCTTCCAGATTTAAGGATTTTTGTTTCTTTTGAGTTGTTGATAGCTTCAACAATTTGTTAAGAAAAAGATTTTTTTCAGTTGAAATATAAACTTTTCTCCCTCTCTGGCCCCTTTGCAATTGGAAAAATATTTGTGAGCATTCTTATTTTGTGGTAGAATGGCTATTTGAATAAGTTCAATAATACAGTAAGTAGTAAATAATACAATAGTATCTGTTGCTGTGCATCAGAAATTGAATTCTTCTGGGGCTTTGTGCAATTAACAGACAAAATTGGGATTAGCTCTTTTTTTTTTTGCAAATAAGTTAGTTTACATCTCTCTTTAGTAAAGGGGAATGGAGAAAGGAAAAAAATGTTTCAGAAGAAAATTATAGTGTACTTGTCACTAGATTCTAGGTTCGTCCATACTTTCAGTTTAAGATCTTTTGTGAATCAATAAAATGTGAAAAAAGAAAAGTTTAGTATGGAAGGGAGGGAGGGGGAAATGGGAAGGAAAACACTGGTAAAGATATGCTTAACTGACAAAAAATGAGAAGCTATTTGCTGATGATAATGTATGTAGTAATATCTCTGTCTTGACTAACATGCATGATATTTGTGTTGGAAAAAGAAATATATACTGTAAAGACATGTGATTAAATGTAAATAAATTAAAAGAGAGAGGTTGAAAATTGAGAAAGCAAGCTACCAGGTCCAAGACTCAAACCATAGTTGGCCATGTGGGAGTCTAGTACATCAAATGCCATGCCACCTGCTGGACTTCACAGCTTTGTTTTCATCAAGGAGACATACAGGGAAGTTTGCTACAGATGTTTTAAAAAGTCTTTATTTTCTTAATAAAAAGAATAGATAAAGCTGGCACCTTTTCCTGTCTAGAATGTCAATCTCTTCTGACTATAACATATATGGGGGATGAAAAGTCCGAACACTAAGTACAGCAGAGGAAATAAAAGAGCCTGGGTCCACAATGACATCACTAAGCAACTAAACCAATACAGCAACTTAATGCCTCTGAGAAAAATAAAAACCTATTTGTTTAAACCATTCTCTCTAAAGTTTTCTGTTTCCTGTAATAAAAAACATTTCTGACAGATAAATGTACACACCATTTGTTCTTTACACTAAGATGAGTTTGCAGATAACATGTAGTTAGTTTTAAAACAGAATATAAAAAGCAGGTAGCTGGAAATAGCATTCTTTTGAAGTCTTTGGACCAATCAAGTTTTCTTTGGTGTCTATTAAATGCATGTCTGCCTTATATCCCCCTCTAGATTGAAAACTTCCTGGTGGTCAGGGATCTTCTCTGTTCTAATAGGGGTCTAGACAATTTGGAGTGCTCAAATTAGCTTGTTGGTAGACTTTATTTCTAGATGTCCTGCAAGTTATTTCTATCATCGAAGCATTCCTTGATATCATCAGAAATGATGACCCTATTAATCTAAACTTTCTTTTTCACAGAAGTGAGTATGCAGGTAAGACAAACAAGCAAAATGATGGTTCACTGTCTTACGTTCACATTCTCTGACATCCAAGTTGAACTGCTGCAATGCTCCCAAGGTGAGCTGCCTTACTTCAGCTTCCAGCAAAAGTTGCATCAAGGAAGTGGCTAAATGTTTGCAAGCTGACATACATGCTGTTTGGGCCACCTTCCCCTGAAATACAAGAATGTAAACCATAAAGTTAATGTATTAAGATGAAATTCCAATAACAACAAAAAACTTATTTTTCAATTAGGTATTTCTCTAATGTTATCTCCATCAAGATATCCTTGCACTCAAATACTCTTGGAATTAAAGCATCTGATGGCAATCTTGAACATTAGCTTCATCACCATCAGTCCTTGTAGCTATAATACTAAGCTGAAATTCACAAAAACCAGCTATTTTGTTGAAAAACACCTTTTTCCCTAACCTAACAGTAAATAAAAATTATTCAAAATCTTAAGTAAACTGAGAAAGAATATTCCACATAATAAATTTCGGTTCCTTCCAAAATTTTTCAAAATAGCAAATATAAATAATCCTTAATTTATCTAGTAACTAGTGCTTACTGCTTTATGATTGACACACATAAATGAAAAGAATGATTTAAAACAAGGTTACCTAAAAAAAATGAAATGATTTATTATTTTTTAGAAAAACCTGAGATTTATTAATATAAACTCAAAGCTAATTTTTTAAATATGAAGTTTTAAATTAGTATTTTACTGTCTTCTTTAAAGGATCCAGATCACTTTACATTTAGTGAATTTACAATTTAGTCCCAGGTCTAAATTACATATCACAGAAGATTACCTACTTTTTTTCCAGATACATATTTTTATTTTCATGTTATCATTTATTATTAAAAAAACAGAATGGATAGTATACATTTTTAAAAGTCTGTGTTTTCAAATTAGTTGGTAGATCTTTCTTCTTTTTTATTTTTATTTTTTATTATCATCATAATCTTTATATTACATTGGATTACATATAACTTTACAGTGTATTACATTGGTTTTTCAAAAGGGAATGCCATGCATGTCAGTCAATACAGAGACATTAATCTCCCCACTTCAACATTCAATATCTTTTCTATGTTTTCCCCAATCATTATTTTTATTATTCTAATTATTTTTAAAACAGTCAATCATTATTTCTCATTTTGCTTGTAAAAATACTTTGCCCATCATGAAATACTTCTCAGACCAGTCCAGTTGAGAATACTATACATATCATCATCAACAGTTAATAAGCCATATCTGTTTCTCACTAATGTCCTGCCTATTGTTCACTTGCTATCTTTCTCTATCCTCTTCTCTTCACCTCCCCCATTCCACACTGTCCTATTCTCATTAAGTACCTTCACTGCTTTTATGTCCTCCAATTTTTTGCTCTCTATCATAGAGTGCGGATAGTCGGTATATATTGAGTGGATACATACAATATCTTTCTTTCATAGCCTGACTTACTTCACTCAGCAATAGATCCTTCATATCTGACCATTTTCTATCAAATTCCAGGGAGATATTTCTTCTTTTAAATTATAAAATATATCAGTTATACAGTAAGAAACAGAACCATATGATGGATACTTATGTTACCACTAAATATTGCAAATACAGTTTAAGCTTCTGTGTGGCCTTAATCATTTTCCTCCCTTTCCCAGAAAATGACCATTCTTGGAATTAGATATCCTATTTTTAGTTTTAAAGCAGTATTATGATAATTACATGAATAAAAACAATAGACTGTGTTATTTTAAATATGTTAAACTTTGTCATATTATGTGATATATCTTTCTGAAATTTTCTTTGTCAGTTCACTAGTATGAATGTGAAGACTGAGGCATTTCTGAATATCATTTCTTTGAATTGAGTACTATTATAAATTTTTCTAATTAAACAAAATGATATTCCATAATTTTATGTCTGATTATTTTATGTAATTAAATAATTCCTAAACTTGTATCTGATTAAAATCTTATTTTGTAGTATAAAAATAATAATAAACAATGACATTTAATAAATGTTCCTTATCTACATGGTTTATTTATATTGTTTCATAATCTACACTCTAGATGATTTGATTTGAGACAACTCTTAGGCACTTGGTATCTTATGTCATTTCATTCAATACTCACAATTACCTCCAAGAAAACAGTATTATTCTTTTCCTACAGACAAAGAATCTAAGACTCAATGAGCTTAATTTATACGAACTCATATGGCTATTGATATTTCTACAGAATTCCAATTCTGTATTTTTTCACTGTTCTACTATCTAAAAAGAAGCGATATATGACAGTGGAACAACTGGGTAAAAAGAGTTCTAGAGAATATTTAACAGGTTATCCAAGAGCTAGACTAGGCCCAAAAAAGTATGGTGCTAGTACTTTAAGAGTCGATTCAAAATACCGAGTATCTCATAGGGTGTACTTTTGAATTTGTAATCTAACATCCTTACCAAGGCCAAAATAGACACTTAAAGAACCCAACAAACCAAACATGGAGATACTGAGAAAATAAAAAATTTTCAGCTCAAAGCCCCCAAATCTGAAGGCTGACAGGATAGCATTTTAAAGGCTTTTCAGTGGCTCAACTAGATTGACAAGGAGAACCAAAGTTGACCTAGTCAAATGAAAATAAATGCTCAGAGTCAAATGTCCCAAGTTTAAATTTTTATGAAAACCTAAACTGACTAACTGTTTGGTAAAACTTACCTTTAGGAATCGATAGGCACACCTTCAGATCAGACATAATCACACACAGGCTATACCTTATGAAGCCATCCATGATAGTTACCGGTGCAGAGACTGCACCAAAAGTAAGACAGAATGCCAGAAGACGAAAAATGAACCAAGCATCATTGTTACATTTTCAACATACATAAAACCTGAGGTGCTCATCTTACATAAATGTGAGATCTGGAATGAGCAGTCCAACTGTGAGATACATGTGAATTTCTGCAAGAGTAAAAGGATGCCCTGGAAACACAAAAGGGATTAAAATAGTTGCTCTACGAAAGTCACATGATCTACCAGGAAAAGGATAGTTGCCAGATGGCAGCAAAAGTGGAGTAGCTGTTATTACAGGTGACACAGTTGGTCACAGAGGCTCAGTTAGGAGCAAAAACAAGGAAACTGGAGGAGCAAGTATTGGAGAAATGAGAATGTCCATGTCCTTTTACTTCTGAAAGTTGGTGGATAAACTCAAGACCAAGTGTGCTCAGCCTGCGTTTTATTGCAGCTGGGAAGAAGGAAATTAGGCAGACTATGTGGGTGTTTGACCATTTCCTGGTCAAAATGGACTGGTATAGGGACCAGCAGCTGGCGTAATGGCTATGTTACTGGACTCCCATGTAGTTGACCGTGGTTCAAGTCCCGGACCTGGTGGCTTAAATTCATGCCAGGCACGTGTGCATGTGTGCTCAAGATCTCGAGAGGAGTATGGAGAAGGGATTGAGGCATGGCCATCTCCCCTGGGGGGTGATTTCTCACTTTCTGTCTCTCTGTCTCTCCTCTCTGTCTTTCTGGTGAGTGCAAGCGCCCTATCGCAAAAACCTCTCAAAAAAATTTAAAAATGAAAGAAAGAAAGAAAGAAAGAAAGAAAGAAAGAAAGAAAGAAAGAAAGAAAGAAAGAAAAAATGGACTGGTATAAAAAACTTGCAATCTATGGGAACCAACAGTGAGTATGAGGAAGACACAGAGATGATATCAGAAGAGGAGAAAAAATACAACCCTCTGTGTCTGACTAGACAGCCTTTGCAGACCAAAGTAAAAGCCCATAAAATATAGCAGGGAAACAACGGGCAACCAGCCCAACACTAACCATCCAAGAATATGCATTGGCAGAGTTATGACATAGTAAAGACCTCAAGCAGATGCTGAGAAGGCATAGTGACCTTCTGGCTAGTGTGACTTGGGACACTGGGGGAAATAGCCTTTTGTTAGCTTGTAAGGAGTCTGAAAACATAAGTAACATCACCACTTGCACAGTCTCATTCCAGTACCTCCACAATGCCTGTAATGTGCAGGGAAACCACAACCTCACCGACTAGAATATTATGGCAATGAGAGAGTCCTGCCAAATGAAGGTGACACTCCTGGCCAGACTCCCACTTGGTGAGCATTAGAGGAAGAGCAAGACATATAAAAATTAGGCAAGAAACGAGCAATAAATATTCAAGAGTTTCAAAGACCTGATAAAGACATCTTTACAGCAAGGATGAAAAGTGGCTTGCTACAGAATGCCATGAGAGACTGGCATGGCACCCTAACCCCACTAGTAGGCCAGGTATAGGTGAGGCCATGGCTGATCTTGAAAAAGCCAAGATTATAAACATGTCCATCTAGTAACAAGGGTAAAGGTAATTAAAAAAAAAAAAAGAGAGAGAGAGAGAGAGAGAGAGGAAAGACTCCCAGCACTAGTGATACAGGAGTAAAAGATCCTATGTAAGTAACTAGATGTGGCATGATCTGCTGAGGTAACAAGAGAAAAACAATATGACAACTGAATGCTGTTCTTGCAGTCCTTTGGAAGGATTTCACCTAGGCACAGCAGTTCAGAATACTCTCTAGTGCACCCCCACTGGAGGAGGGTGAGGAAGCGGAAGTCCAATAAATGCATATCCTGATCACTACTTACAAAGGATGGAAGTCCCCAGGACCAAGTGACAAGGGAGGGCCCAGCTTGCCCTCTATATCAGAGCAATAAGGGTGATCAGAGGTCCCAGGTTGAGCTCTTCATACACTAAAGTCCACAGAACAAGCAGCAAAATGTGGCTTTAGTAGACATAGGAGCAGAATGTACCTTAGTATGCAGTGATCCTAAAAGATATCACAGGAAATAGGTCGCTATGGACAGTTATGGGGGGGGGCAGACTACGAGGATGAAATAAACTGATCCCATGGTAAGCTCTCATGGTAAGCATGGAGAAGAGACCCCCATTCTACTACAATTTTCATAACACCCATCTCTGAGAATATCCCAGGTAGGAACATAATACTTCACCATACTTCACAGATGTCTCAATTGAGTGAGCTTTGTCTTAGAGTCAGAGTTGGAAAGACAATATTACTAGGAAAAGTAAAATGAAAAGCCTGTTTCACACCAACCAGCTACAGGTATTATAAATGTTAAGTAGTGGGTGATTTTCCAAGTTCTTCTACCTCA